TTTGCTGCAATTGCATGGAAAGTGTCAAGCCATTCGTTTCATCCTGATTCGCCTTGGAGATTAATCGTCGTATTGTATGACTAACATCACGGAGATGTCAAAAGTTCATAATGGATGTTGTTGTTTGTGCTTTTCGTAACTTGACAATCTTCTTTGATAACCAAATTGATATCAAATAATTTTATTTCGTTGTCCTGCCGCTCCACAATTCCAAGTTTGTGTCAAACAAAGCAAAAGCTATGGAAAAACTTTTTCTTATAACTACTAACCCGCTATAACGCTGGCATAAAACTGTAAGTCTCACATTATTGTTGAACTCAGTGCTTTCTATACTACTACTAATATTTCACTGCAAAAGTGGGAGAATCTGCTTTTGTTACATTTTGCTAAAATTTATTTGTTTATAAAAAAAAAATTAAATTAAGCCTAATTCTACATTCCCCGGACTTCCGGGAATTTTCTTCTTTTCTCTTAATTTATTTTCCTAAAAATAATAATAATGGTTGTTCCATGTTTTCCTTATAGGCCCGATCATCAAATAGACTTATAGAGAGAAAAAGTAGAAAAAGAATGTATACGCCTAGAGTCCGCCCACTTTTAATTTAAATAATTTTTAGTTTTAGGTCTTAAATTGTAGTTTTCTAAGTTTAACATGGGTTTTTCACAGTGAATTTTAACACACATCAGTTACTTAAATTTTCCTAATTTTGTACTTCATTACAGATTGTTGTTTGATCTACGTTGTGTGTACATGATAATCTAAAGTCTCGTAACTTTTTACTTGACAAACAATTCGCCTACATTCAAGGAAACTCACACTATTCGGACGATTCTTAAATTTGAGAGCATTGTATTTCAGGAGTTTTGCTGGCTTTTCCTCATTGGCTGCATTCCAAGAGTTCGAAATCTACAGTCCTTCACCCTTTTACGGTTGGCACTTGCGTCGATTTTTGTGATCTTCCTTGGCTCGGAAGATTTCCCTTGTTTTTTTTTTCTAACTCGGAAAAAAAATTGTGCTTTCCTTTATTTTTACTTTTGACTATCTAAGCACATTTCGTTTTATATATTTATACGTTTTTCCCAGTTTACGTTCTTTTGCGAGCCACTAGGTTCTCGTTTTTCTATTTTTTAGGTTTGAATTATATATTTTTTGTTTTTCCACTCATACACACTTCCGAACGGTTTTTATTATTCTTTTCTTCCCCGTCTGTCATCGATCACTGTCAATTTTATAAAGATCCATCGCTCTGGTTGCTTTTGCTTGCTTTGCTCACTTTTTGCTTTTTTTTTCTTTTCAGCGCATCAATGCACTTACGAAACCGTTTTGCACAATTATCGCTGTTTTCTCTTGCTTTGTGCCACTATGTCTTTTATATACAGGATTGGTTTTTTTCGCGTTACTGCTAGTTATTACATCACCTTTTTTTGTTGTTTTTGTTGTTTGAACGTTTTATATACTTTTCCTTGTACTGTGCTTAACTTAGTTTTACTAAGGGATGTTTTTTGTTACTTAGCAAGATCTCGTGTATTTTACTTTCTTTTTTTTATGTCATGAATTTTATGTTTAAATAAATATTCTGATGTTTGAATTTTATATTTAATACATTCCTTTTTTTTTAATAAAAACGTCGAAACAGTTCCTGCTTGGGCGGCACTTGGGAGGCAGCTTGTAGCCGATTATCTGGTGCCGGGGACCGCCTGCTGATTTTCCAGGTGTTTCTACCCTCAAGTAAATTTATATTTTCTAGGACTTTTTGCTCGCTTTCTCCGTCTTGAGTTATTATTCATTTTATAATATAAGGAAATTGGGGTTTCCGAATGACACAATTGAGAATCGACTTATTAATATTTAGAGAAGATGTTTATTCAATGTGTAAAATAAAACGTATGGCTTAAAACCCGTCGTGATTCATTGGTCGCTCGATCAGAAGAAAAACGCAAATTATCGCCTCCTCGACCCGGACGACAATAGAATTTGTACTTCCTGCTACGTTGTCTTTTGAAGTCAAAACGAGGTACGACATTGACTCCCCACAACAGTATTCAACTGTTAATAGTGCGGCTTAACACTATGCGTTTCACAAAAGTGCTTATTTCGCGATGTTTACCATTTAACTGTAATAATTTTAATTATAGTAAAATAATTTCTCATGCGATATTTTCTTTTAACAATTTAGTTCACATAACATTGACAGCTGTAATGTGGTATATTATTGAGATGTTCGTAACCGAATTGAACTTGTATATGATGAGTGTGCTGAGTTTTTTGTACTTTTACAGTGCTCTCTATATAACCAGAATGCACCACATACAAAATTGTTAGGAAAAATCGATAATTATTAAAGTGTTACCTACGTTATTCATACGAAATAATTTTCGGAAGCATAACCAAATCTGTCTGAAAAAGAAAATTGAAAAAAAATTTCTTTTTTCAATTACCGATTAAAATTAAAATGGCGAAATATGAAGTAGGTAGTGTAAATGCAAAGAAAATTCTTTAGCGGGTCTGTCCCTTGCAGTAACTCTAGTTTAGTTGAAAGACGCAAGTTACGCTGCTTTCTTCACAAAATCACTTTATTAATTTTAGCTTTATCTTTTTTTTATAATACTACTTATAACTTTTAAAATGTGTTTGTTTACAATTTCGAAATATACTTAATAAACAAAATTCATAAATAGAGAAGTAATATGATATGCAGTACTTGACCAGAAGCAGTGACTCAAGGATAGAATAGGAGTAAGTTTAATGACTGTTGTGAGTAACTGTTGGACGTAAGTCGCGCGCTAGCTAGTAAAACTAATACAGTTGATAGTTTTTACATTTTTACTTTTCATTTACAGAGTCGTATATAGATACTTAATTGCACTGTAACTAACTTAAACAAAATCATAAAAGTTAAACGAAATGTATATTTAGGTAAAAATAAAATATTGCAGACTACTTTTTTCTTTCTCCAATAAAACTTGCTCAAAATCTTTCTTTTTTTTCTCTTTTATAAAGTCAATTAGCAGCAAATATAAAAAAAAATACATAAAAGAGGAACATATGTGTAGAAATTGTTCAACATTGTCTATTGTGAGTATAAAAACTTGACATAAGAATTCATTCAAATTTTCATCCAAAAAGAGTTAATGAAATATTTTTACATCCGTTTTCACTTATAACGGAATAAACTGTTAACAAATGAATATTTCATAAACAACGCGATGGCTAGATTTTAAGGTGGAAAACAAAAGTAATTAAAGTAATTGTTAACTTTTTTGTATAAAAACGAAACGTAAGAAGTCAAATTCCTGTATGTAAAAATGATTTATCCTAAGTTTTCTCATTCCAATAATTTCTAAAAGCTTTAAAAAGAAATTATGACATTGTTACTTATACACATTACAAAAGTAAAACTTAGCTTAAAATGTAAGATTAACTTAACCTCAAAATATTCTCGAAATACACATTAGTGTGAACATTGTTATACAAACGTATTTATGTAATCCTATATAAATCTGATAGTTATTCCATAAAAAGTGATTTTTTTTCTTTTTATTGTTTTTATGCACATTAAGTCGACACTTAAGATTAAGAGATTAATCATATAAAAGTTACGCATCTAATCGGAATGAATTCAAACTATGCAAGAGTATATCATAATATTCATTACTTCTTCTCTCGTTAAAGTACGCAGCATAGCAGTAGTAATTGCCGTTATTGTATTAACCAACATAGTAAGTTCATCATGGAATTAAAAAATTGTAAAATCAAAATAAAGATATATATAAAAAAAGAATAAAGGAATAAAAATATTTAAAAATCATTTATAAAATAAACTCAGAATCCACATGGAAATTATTTATTATTTATATATATTTGTAAAATACAGTTAAAAACCTTAAATGTAATGGAACAAACTCTTAAGTTATTAGTTTCTTTCATTTTCTAACTTTACGCCTACAGGGAGATCCAAAAAAAGTGCATAAATTCTTAACCAGTCATATTCATTGTTTGTCTGCCCGAAAAATGTTTTTGTCTCGCTTTTTAGAATATTGAATATTTATCCAATTAAAGTTTCTCTCAATCATTCAGTTTTCGGGAGGTGAAATTTTGGGCGAAAAACTAAACAAAATTTTGAAAACAGCATATATCTACCCACAGCCTGATAATAATTTTTATAACGTTTTTATAAACGCTTTAGGACTAGTTCCTAAATGGGTTATAGTCTGTGACGAAGTGGAGTGGCATGTCAATGCATTCGACATAGTGCAAAAAAAATGCATATTTCTCACATCCATGTATTTGCAAGTGCCTCCGGCTACGGCACTGCAAGTGGATACGTGGTTGAAAAATTCCGCGAAACTTTCTGCTTTCATTATTATAGTAGACGCAAAAAAGTTTTAATTGAAGTGAATTTACGCACTCTTTTTGCTTCAAGAATTTTCCAAATTTCCAAATTTTTTGATTTCAAAAAAGTTTTAATTGAAGTGAATTTACGCACTCTTTTTGCTTCCAGAATTTTCCAAATTTCCAAATTTTTTGATTTCAAAAAGGTTTTAATTGAAGTGAATTTACGCACTCTTTTTGCTTCCAGAATTTTCCAAATTTCCAAATTTTTTGATTTCAAAAAAGTTTTAATTGAAGTGAATTTATGCACTACTGAGACGTCTAGTCTATACTGAAGAAGAACAATTAATGATGCAGTTTATTCATTACCGAAGCGTCTATAAATTATTGCTTGCTACTATTTATCTCTGTGTCCGTCCGCCCGTGGAAATCGCGGAAGCTGGTAGCCTGAAAGCATTGTCGAGAAGAAGCAAAGTACTATGGAAGAATGCTGCCATCTATTTTTCGATAACGATGGTTTGATCATTATACGTTGTCCAATATTGCCTATTAATGAACTCAATGTAAAATGAATTATCATATTTTCGTTTATTTATAAATAATAAACTAAGAAAATAAAGGGGAAAACTACTGTAACATATTCTCTTTGTGAAGTTGAATGAAAGGTAATAGAGGAAAGATATCTGAGGAGATACAAAAGTTTTGTTTTGAAAAATACAAAAAAACCATATTCAATTTAAATAGTTTTTGGGAGCCATGCGATTTTGGTGCAAGCTTACTTCTAAAAAAAATGATTTAAACTTAATAGTCAGCGGAACGCATGGGGAGTTTCTGAAAGGTACACATAAAAAGTATTTAGTTTTGCGCGACTGCTGAGTGCTTGAAGGAAAAAGTTGAGTTTTTCGCCAAAGAAATATAATCTATTATTAATAAAAAAATATTCAAATTAACCTATCCAACGCCATCCACATCTTCTGCTGAAGAATATTATTTTACAGGAGTATTGCGAGAAACTCGAGCGAAAAACGGGAAAATTACGAGAGTCTGAAGAATTTTCTTTCGAAGAATAAGTTTCCCCATTAATCTGCAATCTCCAAGAACCACAAAACGCCTTTCCACTTTCAAATATTATTCTTCAATCCCTTTTTTCGAAAATTATATGCCCAAAAGTGGTTCCCTTGTTGCCACAACAAGTCAGAGTTATGTAAAGGTCCCCAGAGGGGTGACAAGAATTGAAACGAACTATTTTTCGACTGATCAAAACTATTCAAACTATGAACATGTGATTAAATTGGTATTCTTTTTGTTCATGAAAGCAACTTTGTTCTCTTTCTATTCTCAGCAACTGTCGAAGGCAGAATGGTAAGTTTTACAGTTCAAGCGAAATGACAGCAAAAAGAGCAAGCAATTAGTTATTGGCAAAACGATCGAAAACCTTCAAATCACCATCAATCTATTTCAAATTCATCTCAATGGACCAGTACTTATTTATTTTGGTTTAGAAATCAACAGAGAAAACATTAATCTGTAACGTCGGGAAATACAGGTTGAAGACACTGGTAGGTGTTAAGAACTTCGGATTAAGCCGAATATGAACTCTTTCTTAGTCCAGCTTATTCTTACGTAAAGTGTCTGTGAACACTTTATTTACTTAAATTCATTTTCTTAAAATATTTATTATAATACATTTAGGAAAAATGTTGAAAAGCTAAGAGTCTGAAAGTTATTTAAGTTTAATTATAAAAATAGTATTAACAAATATGATATAATAAATCAAAAGAAATGATGTGAAAATAAAAAAAAAAATAGATTGAAAATAAAAATGCATTTAATAAATCATAAAATTCAATTAAAACATAAGCATATCTTGTTTTCTTTTTTGTTATACAGAAGAGGTATTCGCCTTCCCTTTGCCATGCAAGTGTATATCACCGGTGAATTTTATTAACTTGCTGACAAATATCTACATTCATTTGCAAATTTCCTATCAATTCGAATGCGACATTGTTGCTTTTCTTTTGTTATTTTCTCCTGCGTCCTTCATCATTTCAAATTGTCTTATGAGAACGTTCGGGGAGGAGATTGGATATACATACAAAGTTCTTACAACTATTGCTTTTTCTAAAAATTTGCTAGAATTTGTTGGTGCTTGTTGGTCATTCACTTCATTTTTGCCGTTATGCGGCCAAGCGTTCATAAGGTGTAGAGTAAAAACTACACGTATAAACGGTCAATATATTCAGCAAATTTATTAAATTAGGAGAGAATAAAAAAAGCGTACTTTTCGCAAGATTTACTGTTTCTATCAAATTAGAAAAAAAAAATGTTTACAAAGAAGAAAATGAAACAAAAGCACAAAAATTAGCAATTAACCCAACACAATTTTCGCGTCTTTGCCATCGACAACAATCTTTAGACCATGATATAAGCAAAACTCACGTTTGACTTGAGCGTATAATAAATCGGTAATTAGGAAGATCTAAAATATACATATGATGAATCGCACATGTAAACATTTTGAAATAAGCAATACCTGACCCGTCGAAAATGCTAATGTTGCACCAAAATAAAAATTAGCATTTGCCGAACCGGAATATATCCATAAATGCCACAGCGTAGGCAGAATACATAGTGAAACCAAGAAAAGACAAAATACTACAAAATTGTGAGCCATAACTGTAAAAGAGAAAACTGGAACGATAACTGTAAAACACAATAACTTGAACTTCAATCAGTACTTACACTTTAAAGATCTTTTCCAAAGCGGCAATAAAGCTAAATAGAAACTAACATCACCTAAACACGGATAAGCCCTAAATATTGACATTAATCCAATAAGAATTGTAGTCAATAAAATCGGCTCTTTACGTACTTTCATCGTCAGAGGTAACATATACAATATGGTGGCATTCATTTGGAATGTTATTAAAAACAATGTTCGAAAATGTTCGAACATTTCCGTAAAAAAATACCAAAATAAACCGATATTCGGTTGGAGATCACGATAGAAGAAGCTAAAATTTTGACAGTTAAATTTAACATAAAAATCAAAGTCGTAAAGTATTTACATGAATCCCAAGGTACCATCTAAATAGCGCCAATTGCCGACTATTTTGTAATTAAGCCAGCATATTATCATACATATGCTAATGAAGAGGAATAAAAAGTATACAATAGGCTTGACTTGCTTTTTACCAAAAACTAAAACAGCTGGTGCCAACAATACTATAGGGTACATATTGCGCATAGCTTCCAGTGCAACGCATAACGAAAATAACAATGCGCGCCTGTCCACTAATCCATACAGCGCCACTGATAAGAGAAAATTGCTAAAAATTGTACAAGTTAAACCTGCACAATTGAACAGTGCTAATGGATTGAAAAGGTAGGCTAACAGCACACAGCGAGGCATAGTAAGTTCATCAATTGGCTGATATTGTAAATCTTCAGTACCGGCGGCGTAATGCTCCAGGTCTTTCGATTGTTCGCTTAGCTTCTTACGCACAAATAATTGACTAGTTTTATACAAAACTATCGCAGTCATTAAGTCTAGCATCACATACAACAACGGCAGCCAACCTTGCAATAAATTCATGGCATGCCACAATAACCACAACATTAGAGGAATTTCATGCACCATATCGCCGGCGTATGGATCAATATTATGTTTAAGTAAATAAATGCCTTCTTGTGCTGGAAGGTTAAGAATTCATGAGCGAAATTTTTTAAAGTCTAAAAAAAAATTAGCACCTTTTTTGAAAGAATTCAATGGCGTTGCTATTTCTACACGATTTGCCATTATCGTCCCTACTTCGCTGTTAACCAAATATGTACGTATCAGGCCGCCCAATATTAACCATTTTAAAGTATTTCTATGCATTTTTCCTGTTAACAAATTATTTTCAACAGCTTTTTTCAACGAAAACAAATGAAAATAAAGTTTGACCAGACCGCATTAAAAACTTGAGTTATCCGAGAAAGGAATGCCAACTTCTTCCAACTATGTAAGCAAGAAAAATTGGATTTGGATGAGAAATGAGTGGAATCGGAACGATTGGAAAAATGGCATCCCTTGTTAGACAAATCTATCGAAAAGAAGAACGACATAGAGGCAATAGGCTATAATATCATGAACAGATCTATTTGAACAAATTCCAAAGCAACTTTTAATACAAACTCTAATCTATTTCTTTAAACGCAATGGCTTGTAAATACTTAGGTGAAATTCATGTATCGGTAACGGGTACGCAATGAGAACAAATGCTATTTCTTATACTTATTTCTAGATCTTAAGTAATTATGAGGGCATAAGTGACGTTTATAATTCATGAATATTTCACGTTGTATCTCTGTTTAAGAAGAGCTAAAGAGCTATACTCAAGATTAATTTCGTCCTTGCTGCAATTTACTTTGTAAGAAAGATTGAGTTACATTTATTTGTCATTATTTCGACGCCTCTTGAAATAATACATTGAATTTGTAACGAAGGCCTTAAAAAGAAGACGGATGTACTCTTTAACGGCTAAATGGAAGAATTATTTACTGTCAATCACTTACTGTATCGTAGGTAACTGAAAAAAATGAAAGTAAACGACATGATGACGATTGGCATAAAAATGGCACGTTTTGCATAAAGCAAAGTTTGAAATTGTAACTGCTGAGGGACGGAGGATACTCTTGGAGTATGGTTACCAATTATGGTATATATATAACAATGGTTATCGATTATTGCCATTGCTTCGATTTGAAAAGGAGAAAGGGATTATTTTATAAAGAAAATGCGAATGCTATAGATGGAAGCTATGGGTGGATTACATGAAATGAGAGAGAGAGTACTAAATTCAAAAAATAAAGAGAAATAAAATACCCATAAAATAGCAACAGCAATGGAAGGACCTAACAAGCTGAGAGAGTATAGGCCGATGTTGTGACGACATGAACTCAAGCGCGCGCTTACCAAATTCCAAAATGTCAGTCGAACGCAAAACCAAAAATCTTTGTATATGAAGTCCTTTCTTCGAAGCCCATCGAGTGGATATTTGATTATACGAGAATAAAACAATATTATGAGAGAAATTCTATTTAAAAAAAAGATATATTAAGAAGGAATTCAATATATTTCAAAATTAGGAAACGAGGATAAATGAGTCTTTTGGCTTGAATCTTTTCTTTGTAAATTATGTTTTTGGTTTGCTTTATAAAAAAAAAAATAATTTTTTTGTATATTATTAAGAAATCTTTATCTTCAGTGAAAAGATCGAGCAATATGTGTTAAGACGACCTTTGCAAACTATTGCTTTAATTGCTTGATATATAACACTTCAAATCAATAAAAAAGGATTGTAAGGTAATTTTGTTCGCAAAGGATTTATGAAGCGTTTTGTCCTACGTCTGCCATAACTTTTTTGAATAAGTAACCAAATGGCTAACTATAGCTAACAGTGACAAGGACATGGCGGAAACTCACGCAAACAATCTCACTGTGTTAGAAACTAAAGCTAAACCTTAATCCTTAGTTACACCTTAATGCGTAAACAACATGAAATGATCCAATTATTCAGTTACTCCAAATTTGTCTTTGAACTGGAGTAATCTTCGTTCTCGGCTTGTGTAGTTATGGAAAATATGTTATAAATGCTTCAACCCCTTTTGCTTTGTTTGGGTATGACCTCATCTTATAGTCTTTCCTTCTCTCAAATAATAGCAAAATTTAAAAAAAGATGTAGAAACCGTGAGATATTTTACCATGAAATCAACTTTATTTATTTACTTTTTTACCTATTTATACATGAAATTCAGCTAAAGAAAATTACAGTCGAATTCAGTGCATCTTAATAGTAAATCTTATACTAATTGCTTTAAAATTGGTCACGGAAGAAAAAAGAAGAATAATAATAACAAAGTAAGTTTAAAAATAAATTAAAAGGTTAAAAATAATAATTCGTGTATAAATAAATAAAAAGAGAGAGAGAAAAAAAAAAAAAAATGTCAATTCTTTTTCTATAATTTCTTTTTATTTAATATATTTAGTATAAAACACAGAGATAGCAAAAAAATCTTCGTTTGTGGATTTTTTGAATACTTGAAGAAGAAGACATAAAATTGAATTCACCGATTAAAAGATGTGATTCTCAGCGAAATTTTGGTTGCTGAATTGAAGAAAAAGATAGTTCTTACACATATCTTTGAACAAATTCCTCTTATTATTTTTCAATAAGCATGATTAAAGCATTTCAATTTTTCAAAATGAAAAACAATTTTTACTATTTTTATATATACTTATTTCGGAAAAGAGTGAAAATTAAAACCTTTTATTTTCTCTTTTTAGAAATTTTTATAATTATATAGTATTAACATTTTTTTATTAATTTTTATTAGTCTAGTTTTGTATGTTAGTATGTTTATTATGGGGATTATAAGAGGGTGCACATTGCAAAATTTCAAATATAATAAAGATAAATCTATCGAAAAAAGACCTGCAAATAAATTTCAGGATTGGTTAAATTTATTAAATGGTCTAAATTGCAAGTAAAACTATTATAGGACACATAAAAAATCTTTCATTGACAACAGATGCGGTCTCAACACGCCATCTTGGCATTTATATAAGCCCATTAAAAAAACACAACGAATATTCGCACATTGCATTGAAAAAGATATGTTTCAAAAACTCTTCAAGACAATTGTATGCATTCGCTATATTTAGCGACTAAGCTGTCGTAAATTCAAAAGCCGCGGATGAACCTTGTACATTCAAAAATATACAGAATACACAGACATTTGAAATATTAGAAGTGTTAGAATACCGTAAAAAAACGAATAAAACATTAAATGTTTTCCACAAAGAAAATGGATTTCGGTAAACTGGGTTGAAATCATATCAGATTTACATAACAGGTTAACATATTTCGGCGATGAAAACCGACATACCGACATAAAAAACATGTTAGACCCAGTAAAAAAATTAATAGAAGAGCTGCTGCAAGCGAACTACCTTGGAAATTTAGCCAGGATATTCTGAAGAGAATGTTCGAAAACATACGAAGACACGGCGGGGCCCATGAAAATTTCTTGAGATTATATAGTAACAATCAAATTCAACTAATTGTAGGAAAATTGACATCACTCCAAATTTTAATGAAAGATGAGTATTATTCTATGAGAGAGAGATGAGTATTATTGTATTAACGGTCAATCACGCTTTTCTAGTCTGAAACGCAACGCATTATCAAAACAACTACAACAAGATTAAATTTTTTTTTTTTTGTGCTTGAAATGTAATATATAATCTTGTATATATATGTATGTATGAAAAATAAGCATTTATCTTTCCTTGTACGTCTCCTGAATAGTTTTATACAATTTTTATAGGCGTGGCATTCGATTTTGCCCTCGGTTATTCCGATGAGTGTAAAGAAATAATAGACTTGAGTCAGGAAGATTGCGTATCATTAAACGTTCGAATATGGGATAATGTATCGATGAAAAATTTGCCGCAAGCAGGAACAATTTATGGAAACCAAGTACTGCGATTAATTATTAGATATGATGTAAACGCATAAATTCGCAAGAGAGCAAAGTAGAAGATGTGCTTATCGCTTATTATAAAAGCGCCAACGGTAGATCAAAACGACTCCAAAGATGAGGAGAAAATAAAAGAAGCTCAAATGGAAGCTCTTATTAGGGGGACCAAATATCTAACCATTGATGTAGACTATCGCAAATGTTCCAAATATTCAAGAAAGTTTTCTTATTGCATTGTGCAAATTATCGAGAGCATGCAAGAAAATATAAGAAGCCGAATGATGGAAACCATAATGAAAAATTGTGTTCTCATCTCAACAGAGAATAACTGTGCAGCACGTGAAAGAAAGATTATTAGACCTCTTCATGTTGTTCGGCTATTAAGCCGAAAAATATACAAAAAGTTGAATTAAAAATTCCACAGATTACTTAAGAGCATCAGAACCTCGCAGGGGAATCAAAATTTAAACACAAAAATCAGTGACAAATAATTTTATATGTAATTTCGTATAAAATTTTAGGAAACAAATATACTAATGAATACGATCCTGCATCTTTTTAAATCTGCAATTCTGCGTAAGTTGAGACATCATTCCCAAAGTTTATTGGCTCTGATTAGATGAAATTAAAAATGAGTAATGAAAATATTCCGCCTCGTTCGCCTCAAGATGGTGATAAAGTATCCCGAGAGAAGCGGCGTAATGAATGTTGCATCCTGATTGTGACTGGTAACGAGGGGGAGACATATTCATGAGCACCGCAAATAGCAAGAATTATTAAATGCATGAAATCTGCGGCATACGTTTTTTATTTGGCAATGTTATTCAATCTATCACACGTTTCAAAACGTCAGTCGGCTTTGGTTGCATTTGGGCTTAACCCATTTTAAAACCCTACAAGTAGTTTGCTTGTGCGATATAATCCTGAAGTATACATTCTCCAAATTCGTAGTTCGTAGTTACGCCCGTAAACACCTACAGAACTGTTATGCGGAATTCGATATGGGGATTCTTAAAATGTCTGCAAATCCTAAACACCTTACGCCGAGGAATTTCGGCATATTCCGTTCAACTGACCAGCACAAAACATGCATTGCCCGCGCTCGAATTATATTACAACGGAGAGAACAAGGCGGTATTTTATTGATCAATTATAAATTATTTCGTTTGATGGTCGTAACACTTAAGAAATGACGAATTGGATAAATCCCATCACCGTTTAATACATAAAATTTGTATTAGGCATTAGTTAGACTCGGTCCTGATTTAATAATATGTGACGACACATGGTATTCAAAACACGCAAGTGGGCGTATCATAAGCTCTTAAAAAAATATGTACCTGCGGACTGGTTTTACATTACAAAACGGTTTGTGAAGAATGGAATACTGGTGTATGGGGTACTTTGTCAGGTTCAACTCAATTCCTGAAAATACCTCAACAAAATTCGAAGCACAAGTCTAATGTATCGTTAAACAATTCATAATTATTTCCTATTTTAAGATTTTAAGGCTTATATTTTTGGAATTTTATTTCTTAACAAATTCTAAAAGTAAAAAAATTGAGCGTTTTGGAACTAATATTAAGTTCTGTAATATATGCGAAAGGCCGTACAAAATGGTTCGTGAGTTGACTCAAGTGATGAGCTATAAAGCTTATGTTCTGCACCCTTTATTGGTAGGTTTCACACAAAGTCATTCTCACGCCGTTACAGCAATTACTGCCTGAGAAACAAGAATTCGTTATATTGACCCGAATGACAGGTTTGTAAAAAATAAAAAAAAATTTGTAGACGTATAAGCCGTGAAAATTGACAAGACATTGATATAAATTAAATTTAATTACGAATTGTAGAGAAACAAAAAAAAATAACAAAAATATATATCCTTTCTTACACCTCCGAGCGAATTTTCGGAAATTAATTTGCTAAAGAACAGAAGAAGAAGAAGAAGAAGAAAGTACATCTCCGAAAATTAATCCCCAACTTTATTAAGGCCCAAACTAAGAACCCTGCGTTCACATTGGACTTTTTTTTTATAACGCGGCGAATCAACAACAGATGAATTTCAAGAACAAGAAGAAGTCATCATTGAGTGATTGTCATATTTATAATTATTTTAAAAAAAAAAACCTTTCGCAATGAAAAAGATTAAAAGAGGAGTAAAATCTAAACAAACTACCGAACAGCGAGCAATAAGCAAATATAAACAGCTTACAAAGTCTGTGCAGCGACTGACAGCAGAGCCGGACAAATTTTTGGTGTAAGACGCACGTGCTAAGAAAAATTTCTTTTTTTATTTATTGTCATTCAACTTTAGGGCTCAGCCGTCAAAATATGATAAAATAAAGGAAATGATCCAAATATTATATGGGTTTACAGTAAGTATGGATGTAGAAAGAAGGGAAATGCCAGAGATATTGCCGGAATTAGTAGTCCAAAATATGGATGAAGAGCAAATTTGGCAACAATTGGAACTGCGTAGTAATCTTTTAATGCCGGCTTTTGTCGATGAAACTGCTAAGTTTTTGTCGTTACGCGAACATAAACTTGAGATACGCTTAAAGGAGGAGGGGCAAGCAGAAGACGAATATGAAAACGAAGGAGAAGAAGTGGAAGAACATGATATGGATGCAGCTGATATTGCAGAGAAAGAGGACGTCGAGGGAGAAGATGAAGAAGAATTTGACGACAATGATGATGGTAAAGACAATGAGCTGAACATCAAAAAACAGTTTCAAAGAGTTACACGCAAATGTGCTGTTGATGATGAATTTTTCAAGCTTGATGAAATGACGAGTTTCCTTGAAGCCGAAGAAGCTAAGGAGGCCAGAAGAAAAACGGGTAAAGTTTTATCAGGTGACGAGGATGATGGCATTGATTATTTCGCCGATGATTTTGGTGCTTTAGCCTCAGAAGGTGCAGAAGACAATAGTGATTACGATAACGCTGCATATCAAGACTTTTTCAACACCCAACAGAATGGCGAGGAGGGAAAAAAATACCCAAAAGTCGACGACCACGGGTTAAATCGAAAAGCTAAAGATTATTTTAGTGAAAGATGGACTGAAAAAAGCGACGTGTATAAAAGTAATGACGAACGATGTCAGCTGCAAAGTTCTAGTTCAGAAGAGGATCTTGGCAAAGATGAAACGGATTCAAATAACGTTTCCGAAATCGCACTAAATGAGCAGCCCAAATCCACGTTCGAATTACGTCAGGCACGTTTAGAACATCGTATTCGTGATCATGAAGAAGAAATGCTGGGCGAGAAACCTTGGCAGCTCAAAGGTGAAATAGTAGCTGCAAGCCGTCCTCAAAATTCCCTGCTTGAGGAAATTCTTGAGTTCGATTCTACTGTACGACCCGCTCCTGTAATAACAGAAGACACAACACGTTGTTTGGAAGATATTATAAAACAACGAATCAAAGATAAGGCTTGGGATGACGTTGAGTTCAAAGTACGACCCGTTCGAACGCCCCATGAATATCGTAAACAGTTAGTCCTGGATCAGGAGAAATCGAAAGAGTCCTTGGCCCGTATCTATGAAAAAGAATATCAACGAGAATTGGAAAAGCTCACACCTAACCATGAACGCAATGAGGAGGAGGAACCAAAGGAACATCAGGAGATACGAAAACTTATGCGTAATTTATTTGTGAAGTTGGATGCTTTATCTAATTTTCATTTTACACCAAAGCCGGTTGCTCCAGAACCAAAAATAATTACAAATGCACCTGCTGTAACTATGGAAGAAGTCGCTCCCGTGGCTGTTAGTGATGCTAAATTGTTGGCACCCGAGGAAATTTTCCGTGGTCCAAAACATGAGCTACTTGGCAAGTCGGAACGTACGAAAACCGATAAAAATCGTGCCCTACGAAAGAAGAAGGCCAAGCAAAGAGCTATTCACAATGCTTTGGAGGCTAAAGTTTTGGAGCGCCAAAAACTAGGCATTCCTTTATCTAAAAATCAGGAAAAAGTGAAGTTAATAAAGAATCTAACGAAGCAACGTAATGTGGAAAAGGTAGATACCAACTTACAACCTTAACATTTTTCTTAAAATCTTTACAATTTATTTCCATTTCCTCCAGATCACTGCCGGTAATGATCACCAGAATTTGGGATCCTCGAAAGCATTTTTCTCTAAATTACAAGATCAAAGTAATTTAATGACGTCGGGTAAACCGGATAAAAGAAAACCTGATAAGACGACAATGTCAAGCAAAAAGTTGAAACTCTAACACAAAATGGCAGCACAGTAGCCTCAAAAGGTTATAATGATGCTGCACAATTATCTTACACGTGCAGTATATGTTGATATGAAGAACTGTGTTTCTTGACGTTTTTCTTGCTCTTATTTATAATGTAAACATTTAAAATATATATTTTTTTTACTCCTTACGAACTTTATTTATTATTGTTCATAACGAAATAATCATTCAATCATTATTTCCCTGCGCGTGTAACGTATCTGGCCAATTATCTTTGCAGGCATAGGTACTCATGGCGATAATTCATTGTTTTTCTGCTAATTATAAGCAAAGCATGAGCAAGTGCCGTTCGTTATTTCCTCTCTATGGCAATCTTTTTGTTGGTTTGTGCTGACATTCTTATATATATATATATATATTGTATACGCTTATTCTTAAAAGTCGCACGATACATGCAAAATTATCAAGAATTGTAAACAAACGTATTCAAACATTCTCAGTTGTGTGGAATTTTTATTTTCTCAGTTGTTTGGAATTTCTATACAAATTATTGAGAATATATACGCTTATTCTCTCAGGTTGTTGGCGTTTTTACAAAGACCTGTTGAATTATTGAGAACGAATATGCGCTTATTCCTTAAAGTCGTGCAATACATGCAAAATTGTTAATAATTTTATACGCATATTCTTAAAAGACGCACAATAAGGACATTAATTGTTTCTGTGAAAATGTTTGTAATACACAAACGGAAGTTTCGAAACTACAGTATATATAATTTTCAATATCAGTTCTATATCAAATTCTGAAACGATTTAAACATGTATGTCTGTCCGTCTTGGTAATGTCTGTAATCGCAAATGTGATAATGTCGGCTTCAAATTTTGTACGCACAATATAATGTAACGTATATTCGTGCAGCAACGGTTTCGCCACATAAGAAGAATTCACTTGGAATACAATATCTCTCTTAACTCATAGAGGTTGTGAAAGCTAAGAAAATTTGTAGTTAGGCAACATTTGCGTATGGAAATGCTTACGTATGATGCAAAGGAACGAATATTTGAAATTTAATAAGCTAATGGGAAACGGTCTTGGAAAAATCGTCAAGTCTATTGCGGACTTTTTAGAAACTGTCACCTATATATACGTATATATCATCCAAAATTTAAGCAGAACTTTAATTCAGCAGAAAGAAGGTTTAACGTTCTTATACTGGAATTGCAATACAGTTTGAAAATGTCGAAAGCAGAGCTCACTGATTTCAAAGTTATCTAGAACGTGTAGCTCTTCAGATGTATTTTAATAACAATTTACGCGTGCATTTTGAACTTGTGATCATTCTAAAACAGTCTTGCTGATAGAACTACCACAATTACCTTGATAAGCTTAAGTTACGTTAAAGAAATAGTGTTAACTTAAAAAAGCAAGGTATATCATACAAATCATTTCCGAAATGAGGAGACACTAAAATTGAGTGCACCTGAGTTGTGTTGCAAAGGGGTTAGTTCCATTTAATTTTATTACATGTTCGTTGGGGATATATGATTCCAAATACAAAGATTGGTCCAAGACTATCCTGAACGGCGGAGTTTGTTAAATTTCTCACAATCGCGTAGCGAATGACATGGGATCAGTTTTCTTGCGCAGTGTGGATGGACCTTTCGCCAAAGTTTTCCAAAGCACATTGCAAATGTTGCGCGCAGCTTGAAAGTCTGCTAACAACTTAAATAGCTTGCTCAACAACTACTTTTCAAATTCAAGGTTTTATAAACAATCAGCCAAATCAACCCTTTCTATGAGCACATATATATTTTGTTCCTCTATGGAAAAGCCACTATAGCTTCTAATTTATTTTCAACTTTCTTATTCACACTACCTGAAGGGTTCCTTACGGTTATTATAGGGCTTATCAGTTACAACAACTCCGTCTCTAGTAGTCCCACAAATTTGTGTGGTTCATCTGCAGCTGCTTAGATTAGAAAATCTGCATTGTCCCTTAGAAATTTACTTGTTGGTCGCTAAGTAGGGACTTATTTGTTTACTTATTCAAACATAGAAATATGTAGCAGAATTATCTGAAGGTAGATAGGATGAATGGAATCGGTGAAGAGAGTACTCGACCTGGTAAAGAAAAGTGGACTCAAAACTTTCACTCCACCAATATATTCAAAATCGGAATCAATACTCACTTATTATGAACTTCATAGGCGTAATATAGGATTGCTACTATCTTTTTTTCACTTTGGGCAGGAACAGAAAGCCAGCGATAGAGAGTATTAAGATATGTTTGGAGTTATTGCTGAAACATCTTGTGGCATAAAAAGTTGCACGTCATCATCTGTCCAAAGGACATCCAACAACATATTCGCAACACAAGAATAATGAGTAAAGGAAGCTTGAGAGACCTTTCAATTGATTAAGCCATGTCCGTCTGTGTGCGCGTATGGTGCTTGCTGTTTGCACAATTCTGGTAGAGACGTTGGAAGTTTTTGGATGCAGGCTGGTATTAAAAACGGGTCAAATTGGTCAAAGCAGAAGCCAGCGTGGAGCGTAAACTAAACGCAACTCTGCTTTTTTTAACAAAGATTTGTGGTTTTTTGTTCGTTACTCAGAAATTATAAAAGTTAAAACTTTGTTACTTTGGGAACCACTTTACCCTTTACGTCGAAAAATGGCAAAAAACTCGGCCATGCCCACACAAAGTTACAAATGATTAAATTTTATCTTTTTCACTTTTTTGAGGTTTTATGCTTATTTACCATCACGCAAACAAGACATAATGTTTGAAATTACTTTGTATATTCCTCAAACCGAAATATATTATCTGCTTAGGAATGGGTTAATTCTAAAATGAACATGGTAGACAAAGCGATTAAATTTTCTTAATAATAGCAGGGATATGGGGATCAAATAAGAGAACTTGGAGAGTAGAATGCGAAAAACATTGTAGTGGGTATGCGAGATTCGGTCCACGACGAGTATGACTATCTTACTTGTTTTCTAATAATCTTAACGCAGTTATCAATAAACATGACTAAAGTTGGCGAGCAGAGCCATTGCTTATCAAAACTGTCACTAAGTTATTGTCATTTATGTGTGCATTTCAAATAATTCTTTACGCTTTGTTGGTCATGTGTCAGGCAGGCGGACTCTCTTTCTTTTTACAATTTAAATAGATGAGAGATGTACAATATGAATGCTAATGTAAATGCTTGCATTCACATAGCTAAGCATATTGTTCAAATGCGCAAAGTATTCAATAAAACAGATAAAAAGTTAAAAGGGCTCTATAATGTCCGTCCGCTGATTTTAAAACGCAATTTGTACAATCTGTTCCAGTAAATCCTAATACGCACTTCATTAAATCCGTACGTTAGATACATTTAAAATAATCGATTGACTACTTTAATGATGCATGATGCACAATAGTGAAATTCAATAGCATTTCACAAATCAACAAGTGGTGGATGATCACTTCGGAAGTTGTTAACTGTGCCTTTCCGTCTTATCATAGTGCACACATCGCCACGAGTAAGAAAAAAATGAATAAAGGATGGTGATAATCGTCCTGCAATGAGTAGCAACTAAGAAAATTTTATTCGGCTGCGACCGAATCTTTCATATACCCACCATCTTTATACTAAAAAAGACTTAAAAGGAAACGTAAAAATTAAATTTTCATATTGGGCGGGCGTGGTGAAATTTTTCCATTCTTGTCAAATACACGTGGACATTTTTAATTTGTGGCCACTGTAGCTTAAGAATAATGAGGGAAATTCCAAACAAAATAGTTGTTATTTGTGTATGTTGCATTGCATGTCCTTACACCGATTTAGTATGGACGTGCATGCAAGAAGTTTCAATCTTGCAACGTGACCGGAACAGTTTTTGCCATAAACACTACAAATTGTTTACCAATATAAAATATACTAACAGAGAAACCGTAACATGTACGCGGACGCATACACTGTACGTATGGGCAGATAGTCAAATGGAAACACGGACAGAGGAACATGTCTAGAATGATTCCGACCTTAAGATACCGATGAAGATGTATATAATTTATAGCGTCTCTGCAGCCCCACTTCAGTGTGTTACAAACGTTTTGACAAAAACAAATTTTCAGATGTTATAACGTTGGGTGGGCGTGATCAATATTTCCATTTCTATACCGGACCATCCAAATTTGTATTGTTTTATCTATTGTAGTATGAGAAATGAGCAAACAACCATTTTTGTTTCTTTTGAAAACACAGATATTCTCAGTTTACGTGGTAGTGCAGGCATATCTCCTCTTCGGTATAACCTATTTTCTATATTAATCTGTATAGAAGGGCTGCAAATGTGTCTGATAAATTTAAAGCCGATTACCTGTTTTTGACAGCCAGGAGAATGTTTACCGCAGAGATTGCATAAGCGCGCGGGCAGACAGTCAGACAGATGTCCCAACATATATACTTTACTGGATCTCTGAAGTGTTGCAAGTGATTTGACAAATGGAATATACCTCCAACCTTAGGTGGAGGGTGTAGTGACGACACTAATCGGTAATAAATGGAAAGTTAAAGGTCTGGTGGACGGATTAAGAAGAACAAGTAGATTAAAGCGCAAAGCTCCTTCGTAACAAAACGTAGATAACAATGAAAGTAACAAACATTGACGTTGTTATTAAGAATGCTTCTAACCAAATTTCTCTTGTTTGTGGAATTAAGTTTATATGACACTTGTGGGGTGGCATTAAAAAAGTACGATTAAGCGACATACCCGAGATAAATTGCGTACTAAACGGTCTTTTCTATTGGATGTAACCGAAACTCTTGCCCGACTTGGCCTCGATTGCTTGATCAGTCGGTTTTATTTGAAAGGGTGATTGAGTCAACGGTTATCGTGATGGAAATGGCTTAGATTCACCGTTCACTGAAATGAACTTTTATTAAGATCATGTGCAATACATGAGTGTCAGTCTTTCTTATTGCTAGACTTTTTTCTCTTGTCAGACAAATCATTACCAAAAAATTTGTAGCCAAACATCTCAACTCTATCTTTCACATTGACGTATCTTTCATCTTGACGTATCCCTGCCCAACGCTTGGGCGGTATTTTAAACCATTTTTCATTGA